GTGGGGGGAGGGGACGGCCCGGGTGTTGGGCTGCGCTGGCCCGCGGAGGCGCCCCGTCAGCCCCGAGGACTTGCCCGCCTACCCTGCCCGAACACCCGCCACCAAAAACTGCCCCAGTGCAAATCGACGATCGGCGGGGGCGCGAGGCCGATACCCGCACCCTGGGCCGCCACGTCCTTTCTCACAGGGGCCCTCAGAGGTCTCGGGGAGGAGACCCCCGTCGCCCACTCTGAAGCTTAGCGGGCGACCCTCTCACCCACCAACGAGCTGGCACCGTGCCAAGGTTTAGCACGCTCGCCCTGGAGGGATCCGAGGGCTGGTACAGGCTCCTGCCCTCGAGCAAGACTGCCCGTGCTAGTCGCCTCAGGCAGCGGTCCCCACACCTCAGGACCGCGGGCAGCGCTGGCTCTGAGCGGTCACTGCCGTCGCGGCAGCTTCCTTACAGGGCTGCACCCGGCCATCGAGTCACCCGTGTCCTGCCCGACTTCGGGCTGCGCGGGACACACGAACCTTATACTGCTAGGTTATAGAGTGACATGCGCGTCCCTTTTACTATTTGGGCTAGTCCTCGAGGGCTCCTTGAAATACGGGGCGCCATTTCAGTTACCACGCGGAACCCCGAGGAGGGAGCCATCGTGAGCCACACTCAAGATGGCGCTAAGCTCAGTAAGCATGCCGTGACGTGGCGCTCGAACCCACGCCGAGTACCTAAAAACGGCAGGCTGCACCTGCCTTATCACCACCGCGCTTGACTATCGAACTACGAAAGCCCCTTCGTGGGAGGAAAGACAAAAATAGGTGGAAAGAGTCGTGGAGGGCGCGGGAGAGAGACTTTGTGCCACACACAAGATGGCGGCAGATAAGGTTCATCTCTGTGTTGCCAGAAGGGGGCGCCCGACACGGAAGGCGGGACTACGTCGAAGCGAGCGCCTACTGGCTGAGAGTGGCGGGCGAACACAAAGTTGACGCTTTGCGTCCTGCTATTGGCTGGTTCTGCTGTCTCTCTCTTGAGGCTGTCGACTTGGGAATGGGGAAAACCCGGAGTGTGGAATTGTAGGGAGAGGATGGCTGCACAGGCCCGCGAAGCTTGGAGGCCGGGCGAGAGGAGAGACTGAGTCACCCTTTTCGGGTTTTCCGGGTCTGGGCGAGCTGGCCCCATGCCCACTGCAAGACCCCTTTGCTGAGTTTACCCTGTCCTCGCCCCGCTCCTCGCGGAGGCCTGGGGCACCCCCAGGGTCGGGTCCCCTCCCGCGTACCCCACCTCCGCACCCCGGCCA